CTTATTTGTGCATGACGATTTTCATGACGATAAAGCTGGTGGCTTACACTGCGGAAGAAGCAATTACCATCGCCGGCAATATGTACTGGCACTCGTGATATACGAGCTAGTCTAGCAGTTAAGATTGACATTGGTGTATCTATAGGACCTGGATTGAGCTCAATATCACCGCATAAAATTAAGTAACGCTTCTCAGCTGTTTTTATTTTTTGTATGTTGCATTTTTTGGAGTTTAGAGTTTTAGCTTTGTCGAATTTGTGTTTTCGGGTGCTGTTAGTGTTTTGATTGCTAATATTTAAGCTTACTTCTTCAACTGTCGATTTTCGCATTTTTTTAGAACGATATGGGCATGATTTTGTAAATCGCCACATGTTTGTATTTAATTCTTTTTGAGTGACATGTTTACGAAAACTTGTAGACAGCAAATTGTGCCAAGACGAAGATTTAGGAATTGATTGCTTAATGAAACCTTTTATTTGTCGCCTTTTCTTTTTGTTTTTGCGCATTAAAGAAACAAGCTTTTTCATTGGAATTCTAGACGGTTCTCGATCAAGCCTCTTAGTTTTAGCATGCACTAAACAACTTCTTGTTTGTAATCTGCCTCGATTATATACGTCATATGGAGAAGTTAACCGCTTTTTTTCTTTTGATAATGTTGTAGGTGTTAACGAGCCTTCTATTTTTGCATCAACGGTTATTGTATTATTACTTTTTAGAAAAAAAGTAAAGCTTTGGATATGGGGCTTTGTCTTATTCCCATGATCAACTTGAAACGTATGGTTGTCACTAAGCGTTGAGTATTTTGGCAATTGTTTTTTATATTTATATGAAGTTACGACAGTTTCTAACAAGTTTTGCATAGATTTCCGATAAGTTTTCAATGATTTATCTTTTATTTGAACACAATTTTGCACCGTTGTGCTAGACCTGCGGACAAGGTCCGTGTCGATAACACGTGGGCCATCTCCTTGCCTTTTTCCTCGATTACATAAGGCTCGCTGGCAAGTCAAGCGATTGTCGATAACACGTGGGCTATCTCCTTGCCTTTTTCCTCGATTACATAAGGCTCGCTGGCAAGTCAAGCGATTGTAGATAACACGTGGGCTATCTCCTTGCCTTTTTCCTCGATTACATAAGGCTCGCTGGCAAGTCAAGCGATTGACGATAACACGTGGGCTATCTGCTCGTCTTTTGCATTTAAATACAGCTCTCTGACGAGTTAAGAGTTTTTTGCTAGTCTCTGAATAATTTGACTTCATCTTTCACAAGCAGGCACAGCGATAATCAGCTTGTACCGTGCACAATTGCCGACATGCGGACACTGTTGCAATTATGTTTTCGTGTGACAGAAGATCTAACCAATCACATTGGCCACCGGCAGCGTATAACACGCGGGTAGTAGTGCGTTTTTCAGCATTTCCTGTGCTTATCAAAAATTACTAGATTTTTAGATTAGTACGTACAACAAAACAATAATTTAAAAATAAACATTGGGAAATCGTTTTATCTATAAAGAAATATTTAGTCTGTTAATTGATTAGACGATAAACCTCGATTTAACTATAAACCAATAAAACTAAATTTTGCATGCTAATGCTATTTTTTTTTTAAATTGCATTTTTAAAAAAAAGTTACTTCGCTCCTCTTCATATATTACAATACATGCATATAACTATTTTAACAACACTGATTATATATAAATAGAGACTTGTATTGTTAATTTGAAAGGGGCATATCTTCGTATATTGTAGCATCAAATTAACCGTGCGTTCTAAAACCATATGAATGAAGTGAAATTCTAATTGCTTAATTTCCAAGCAGGGAAATCAAAGACGGCAAAATTTTTTTAACTTCAAGAAAACTCATGCATGTTAATATATAGGGGGGCTATTATGCAAATCCTCATGAACAAACAGTGGCTCAAAACTGAATAAGGTGATTAGCTGTTTCCAACATTCTGAAATTAAGCCAGCATGTTGGCCTTGTTATATTATCCGGTTTACTAGTTTCAGATAATGACCGTCTAGGGGTGGATCCAGCACTAGAATCAAAATAATCACTTTGTTTTGTCATGCAAATTAGTGCACTAGTGCTGGACCACCTTGTAATGACCGATTCTAGTGATAGTGTTATATTCCTTTGCCTTTGGTCTCTTAAATCACCCCTGTAGAGTGGACGGTTTAACAGTGTGAAACATTTATGTCACGAGGACATTATACCTTATAAAAATTTGTGTGATTCGCTTTTTGAAATTATATTTTTATTAACTTATTACAAACTCTTCTGCATGAGGAAGGTCTTTAGATCTGCAGGTGTTATTTTTTGAATGAATCATAAGAGTCGCTGAATGTCGTTTGAGAATATAGTTAGTTATCTATAGCTAGATTTGGCGGAAAAGCTGCCAGCATGCATACGGTTGTTCCCTGGTTATTGTTGCTTAGTCTGCTGTTTAATTCGGTAATACTTTTTACATCTTGTTTTTAGATTAAACTAAATAAACTTTAAGAATGGCGGGTATAGATAATATTATTTAGTCTTTATACCAGAGGAATAAACAATTAACTTATCACATATCGTTTTTTTTAGCCCTGCACGTTAAGCCTTTTATCAATTCTTATATAGTTATTATATAGATCAAAAGAAGTTATGGCTTTAATAAGAAAATATACTAAGCAATATTGGGAGATCGTTTTAGAAAAACATATAATATAAGTAAAATGTAAGAATGCATGTTGTAAAACAAAACTAGGGATCCAAGGATAGTGCAAAGTTTTAGCTATAATGCAAATGCTGTTATACTTGTGATTGTGCAAAAATGCGCGGTCATCCAGGTGATCTCGCGCTCATATTTCAGCCAATCAGCGCTCAGAAAGTTTGTGAAAATAGAAATCCATCTTGCAGTGTTTAATCAATTATATCTTTTGTTATTCTTGATGGAACCATTCGAAATTTTGTGATTATGTTTAGTTATAAGAACTATAGCTCTGATATAACTTTGGAAAATAACCGATGCGTGAATCGATCACTTGTCCTGACAGCACGAAAATATAACCAAACATACTCAAATTACATTACTATAGTCGCGATATTATATCTGGATATCAACCATAACAATATAATTAGCCTTGAATGCCTACTGTGTGGATCCACAGTCTTCATTTACAAACAACCCGTTCTCGCCTGAACTGAAGTATTAAATAAATTATGTAAACATTTTATAATAAAATATTTCTGAGAAGAATCCCACAAGATACTTTCAAATTGCACTATACTGTATAAACCTTAAAGTAAATAAACCTTGCATGATTTACATAACCGATGCGTGAATCGATCACTTGTCCTGACAGCACGAAAATATAACCAAACATACTCAAATTACATTACTATAGTCGCGATATTAATATTATATATGGATATCAACCATAACAATATAATTAGCCTTGAATGCCTACTGTGTAGATCCACAGTTTTCATTTTGAAGCATTTTTTATGACAGTAAAATTGGTTTGTGCATAGGCGTACGGGACTTTTAAAATGTGGTCGCGCAGATGAAACATGGTCTAACGTAATTAATGTAATAGTTACTTTGCCCTTCTTTTGGACTGATTGGACGCCTGTATATATTCAAAACCGATCCGTCTATTTACATAACCATATGCGCGCAATCGCACTATAGCCTACCTAAATAAAATACAAAGCACTAAATAAATATAGCTCTATGAAGTTGTGCTGTAAGAAAACGAACTAAATAATATTAGCACTTAATTGTCACCATTTTAGCGTGAATTAACTGCAATACGTAAAATACAAAACAATCCTATGCTTCGTGAAGTTTGTGTTGTCTAGCACTCTATTCAATGAAGTATACGATCTAAATAAATCGCGCAGTGTAATATTCGATGCGTGTGTTTATAACGCGATGCGAGGATCAATGGATCAGTTCAAATATAGTGTTTATTACGTGTAGTAATAGTGCATGTCGTGTAGCACCTTAGCATACCATTTAACCTGATAATACTGATCGGCACTTGCTAGTAATATCGCCATTTGCTTCAGATTTGTACATTTTAAACAGAACTGTCTCGCTCCATTGTTTCTCTATAACAAATAGTAATTATTAAGCACTGTTATGGTTAAAAAGTTTTTAACCTCCATAGTCGATTATACAGCAGTATCAATTGCTATCAACACATGTTAGATTCGTGAAGTACATTATCAAAATAAGTCGTGTATATTATGTTATGCGTGTAGTTAAAACACGATAGTGGATGTGGACGTATTCTTTCTTGGTTCTGCGTTTAATGAGTTCACAAATTCTCGAACATTTGCTCGCTTTTCGCTTAAAATATTTCAAAACAACACTTCGTCGCTCCATCGCTCCTTATTGTATTTTGCGCTTCTGAATATTAATCGCGGCCTTATGCGCATTAATGCGCTGTTCAAGATGAAATTGCGTGTACCGGGGGGAACAACACACATATCATCGTAACGAATGTTATAAAATTTACAATAACCACAGTAATTCTTTCATATTTTGTTTAAATTGGAAAATGCTAAAAGAATATACAAATCAGAAAACTATATACTTGATCAAACAAACTTCCTGATACCCACCCACATAGGATCAAAGACGACAAACAAAAAACACTCCGCCCCCCGGAGTTTACACTATGACTGACTGAACTGACTGTCTGATGTGAATTTTCGCCACTCACCACAATACTGCAAAGTTTCACAGAAACTTTGCACTAAAAAAGGAGGAAGTTCTTACTAGTAAGGATAATGCAAACGTCAGTGCTACACACACCAATACGAACAGTTGTTACTATACTACCAATTCTAAAATCGTCCCAGTCATCTTGTCTCACAAGGATAACCCCGAAAAGGAAGTCAACGTCTATGCTCTTCTGGACGATGCAAGTGACACTACGTTTATAACGAACAGTGTTCAACAAAAGCTCGGTGTTTCTGGGGTTGACACAAAGTTGAATTTGAGCACCATGCTTGGCCGTGAAGAAATCTCTGCATGTAAAGTTGAAGGTTTGGTTGTACGACGGCCAGATAAGCGTGCGCATGTGGATCTACCGAGAGTTTACGCCAGAGATAACATACCCTGTAGACGGGACCAGATTCCTACGCCAGAAGTCGCAGACAAGTGGCTGCATTTACGGAAAATTAAGGATAAAATACCTCCATGTCAAGCTGACCTTCAAATTGGTCTTCTGATTGGGTGCAACTGCCCGAAAGCAATCAAGCCAAAGGAAGTGATCTCAGGCAAGGGAGAAGAACCATACGCTGTAAGAACGCTCCTTGGATGGTGTATAGTCGGACCTGTCGCCTCTGCCTCTGAATCAACAGACAATGTCGATATTGGCCCCTCCACGTGCAACTGTATAGCTACTCGTGAAGTCCTTCCTGAGGCTCGTTTGGGACCGACGTTCGCCCTAAATACCTCGACGAAAGAGGAAATCAACCCATCAGTTGTGAAGCAACTCTTTGAACTCGACTTTTCGGAGAAACATTCATCAAACCTAAGCCTATCGAGAGACAACAGAAAATTCCTTGAGATTGTCAAGCAAGGTATTCATCAACTTGATAACAATCACTACGAACTGCCATTGCCCTTGAAGGATGGAAATATCAACCTTCCAAATAACAGAGATGTGGCCGTGAGGCGGATGAATCACCTCAAAAGAAAGTTTGAGCGAGATCCAACACAAAACCAAGAAGATTACGTTGCCTTCATGGGAAAGTTATTGAGAATGGATTTGCAGAAAGGGTGATTGAAGATCAAAATCATAGCGAATGAGAAAATACGAAGGGGAAAATTTGGTATATTCCTCATCATGGTGTATACCATCCGAAGAAACCTCAAAAAATTCGTGTCGTGTTCAACTGCGCAGCACAGTATCAAAACGAATCGCTGAACAAGCATCTGCTGCAAGGTCCCGATCTTACCAATAATCTTACAGGAGTATTGTGTCGGTTTCGCCAAGATAGTGCGCTTCATGTGTGATATAGAAGGGATGTTCCACCAGGTCAAGGTCAACGAAGAACATCGCGATCTTCTGCGATTTCTTTGGTGGGAAAACGGCGATACTGCCAAAGAACCAGATGAGTTTAGAATGACGGTGCACTTGTTTGGAGCAGCATCATCACCTAGCCGCGCAAATTTCGCCTTGAAAACGACCGCGGACGATAACGAGAAGGCACTTGGAAGCGCAGCAGCTGATTTTCTTCGAAAGCATTTCTATTTTGATGATGGTCTAAAGTCCGTGCAATCGGTGGACGAAGCGGTGAACCTGATCAAGAACACCAAGGAGATGTGCAGTCGTGGAGGATTCAACCTTCACAAGTTTGTGTCCAATAACAAGGACGTTGTTCGAAGTATACCGGAACGTTATAGAGCAGATGCGGTGAATGAAATAGATCTCGATTTGGACTCTCTGCCAATCGAACGAGCGCTAGGTATCCAGTGCTGCGCAGAGTCGGACAGCTTCCAATTTCCAATCGTGCTTGAGGCGAAACCGTGCACAAGAAGAGGTATACTGTCAACTGTCAGTTCAATATTCGACCCAATTGGATTTGTCGGCCCCCTTCTGCTTGAGGGAAAGTCAATTCTTCAAGCACTATGTCGCCAAAGCATTGGTTGGGATGACGCTGTGCCGGACGAAGCAAAGTCGAGATGGGAAGAATGGAAGTTAGATTTGGTTAGAATGAAAGGTTTTTCCATACCGAGATGCTATAAACCTCTTGATTTTGGTCGCGTAGTCAGTACTGAGCTTCATCATTTTTCAGACGCCAGCGTGGTAGGTTATGGTCAATGCAGCTATCTACGATTTATTGATGAATGTAATCTTATTCATTGCACCTTCGTGATGGGGAAGTCGAGAGTAGCCCTGTTGAAATCGGTAACCATTCCACGATTGGAGTTAACGGCCGCGGTCTGTTCCGTCAGAGTTAGCGTCCAGTTGCGTCATGAATTGGATTTGGAAATCGACCAGGAAATCTTCTGGACAGACAGCAAAGTGGTGCTCGGCTACATTGCAAACGAAACTCGGCGTTTTCATATCTTCGTCGCCAACAGAGTGCAAGAAATTCAAGATCATACCTCAGTCGATCAGTGGAGATATGTGGAGTCGAAATCAAATCCAGCGGATGAAGCATCTCGCGGAGTGAAAGCTAAGGAAATTTCAGAATCCAAGTGGCTTTCTGGATCATCGTTCTTGTGGAAACCAGAAGAACAATGGCCATCCAACAACCAGGAGAATCAGCACATTCGCGAGCTGAGCTCATCTGATCCGGAAGTCAAGAAAGCCGTCGTTTGTTCTACCTCGAGAGTGGATTCTGATGAAAATTCGACTGGTTCTCTTATCGAAGATCGACTGTTGTACTTCTCTGATTGGTATCGAGGAAAGCGAGCAATAGCCTTATGTCTCCGCTATGTGAGAAAACTTCGCGCACGAGTTCAAAGAAAGAAATCGGAGGCATTGACGTTACCTGAACTCACTGTCAGCGAATTGAGCGCTGCAGAAAAATTGGTCATTCGTTTGGCACAAGCTACTGCGTTTCCTGAAGTCTTAACTGCGTTGAAGAAAGATACAGCTGCTAATCGGGACGTTAACGTCAATGCTAAGAAGGGTACCAACACACTACGCAAACTCGACCCGTACCTCGACGAAGAAGGGATCCTGCGTGTCGGAGGGCGTTTACGACGCGCGAACCTATCGGAGAAAATTAAACATCCAATCATCTTACTCCGCAAAGGTCATGTGACAACCCTAATAGTACGATACTTTCATGAACGAGTGAAACACCAGGTAAAGGGATTGACATTAAACGAAGTTTGATCAAGTGGGTTCTGGATCATCGGTGGTTCGTCTGCAATTTCGCATCTAATTTCTACCTGTGTCACATGCAAGCGGCTTCGTGGAAGAGTAATCGAACAAAGAATGTCGGACCTCCCTGAGGATCGTACGGAAAGCTGTCCACCATTTACCTACTGCGCGGTTGACTATTTCGGTCCGTTTATCGTGAAGGAAGGACGAAAGGAACTCAAACGATACAGAGTTCTTTTTACGTGCATGGGCTCTCGAGCAGTTCACCTCGAAACGGCAGCTTCCCTTGATACTGATTCATTTATCAATGCTCTTAGACGGTTCATAAGCAGATGGGGCCCTATTCGCCAGCTCAGAAGCGATCAAGGCTCAAATTTTGTCGGTGCTCGCAGAGAGCTCATGGAAGCTCTAGCTGCGGTGGATCACCAAAGAATAAAGTCGAAGCTGTTAGAAGAAAGCTGTGATTGGTTTACGTTCAAGATGAACGTACCATCAGCAAGTCATATGGGTGGAGTGTGGGAACGTCAAATACGAACTGTTCGGGCGGTTCTCTCTTCTCTGCTGCACAACAACGGAACCCAGTTGGACGATGAGTCGCTAAGGACTTTAATGTGTGAAGTTGAAGCTATAGTTAACTGTCGACGGTTAACAGTAGACCAACTAGCAGATTCGGACTCACCAGAACCATTGACACCGAACCATCTTCTCACGATGAAGTCGAAAGTCATCCTACCACCTCCAGGTATATTTGAATCCCCGGATTTGTACAGCAGAAAATGGTGGAGACGTGTGCAACATTTGGCGAACCTTTTCTGGACGCGCTGGAGAAAGGAATTCCTTCTAAGTTTGCAACATCGGCAGAAATGGACAGAGACTCGTCAAAATCTACGTGTCGGTGATATCGTCCTTATGAAAGAAAAGGACGTACCAAGAAACAAATGGGAACTAGCTCGTGTCGCAACAGTCTATCCAAGTGATGACGCAAGGGTTCAAAAGGTTCAAGTTGCCGTCGCAGATCGAAGTATTGGCGAGGATGGTAAAAGAAGAACACCACTACGCCTTCTAGACCGACCAGTGCAGAAATTGATCTTCCTGATGTCAAATACACTACAGCCCGGTAGTATAATGGTGAGTGAGAAGACCGAGGGAATCCCAACCGAGGAGCCTCAAGAATAAAGATGTCGTGGAACAGAACGGGTACTTTAATTTCGAAACATTCAATAAAGGTTTATTTAGTTAAGTTTAGTGAAATATTAACATTCTATATTTCAGGGGAGCCATGTTAAGGACTTATGACACTCCCCTTGTTGTGTTAGCTTATCTTTAGACACAGTGCCAGTGTCGCATCTAATGTATGTCTTTGTATGTTGATCGGCCCCGGGGGCTATAACGCAAGGCACGGACTACATATGATTAATAATAGTTTTAGTTTGTGTGAGATAGTCACAGAAGTAACACCTGTATCGTTAGTTGGTGCGTATTTAGTAAAATTTGTTGTTAAAGTGGTGAAAGGACTAGTTCAGCGCTGTGGGCAAAACGGGACTGATATGCAAGTGACATTTCATGAAACTTTGTTGGTTTAGTTCTAAATTATGGTTTTGTTAATACGCTCTGTTTGCATGTTCACCTTATGTTTAATTATATAGTCGCATGCATTTATGGTGTCCTGTGTGCCGCGTACTGCTGTTTTCTTTTAGATTGCATGTATTCTTGAAAGATAGATATTTGTTTTATAATGCAAGCTATAGTTATTTAAGTTTTCCTATATGTTGTATTTCAGTTTACGATTACAAATCAATATAACCTCCACGTCTCGAGTGTAATTCGTTGGTTATAACGTCGAATCACCGTTAGCTGTCACATAAGGCTTTCTCTGTGGTTTTAGTCAATTTCGTGATCCGTAAAGTAGTCCTAATTTGAACTCGGTGTTTCGATTTTACTTCGTGAATTTCGGCGAAGTAACAAATAGGTGCTGTTTAACTTATTCAAAACGTATCAGATATTTAAGGTTACATATGTTTGTGTGAAAAGGTTGTATGCAAACAGATCTAAAGCCCTCTAAAAGTAGCCCAGCATTAGTTTAAGGAAAATATATTGTAATGTCTAACTGAAACTATTGATTTGCAATATATCTATTCACAAGCTTTGTTATACAAAATATATATTGTACACTATATACAGGGATAATAAGGTATACCAACAGAATTGCTATATTTGGATAGTTGAACTATCTATCAGTAGGTGCTGTTTAATCTATTCAAAAGGTATCAGATACTTAAGCTTCACATATGTTTGTGTGAAAAGGTTGTATGCAAAGAGATCTAAAGCCCTCTAAAAGTAGCCCAGCATTAATTTAAGGAAAATACATTGTAATCTCTAACCGAAACTATTGATTTTCAATATATCAAATGACAAACTTTGTGGATAATAAGATATACCAACAGAATTGCTATATTTGGATAGTTGAACTATCTTTCAGTAGGTGCTGTTTAACTTATTCAAAACGTATCAGATATTTAAGGTTACATATGTTTGTGTGAAAAGGTTGTATGCAAACAGATCTAAAGCCCTCTAAAAGTAGCCCAGCATTAGTTTAAGGAAAATATATTGTAATGTCTAACTGAAACTATTGATTTGCAATATATCTATTGACAAGCTTTGTTGTACAAAATATATATTGTACACTATATACAAGGATAATAAGATATACCAACAGAATTGTGATATTTCGATAGTTGAACTATTTATCAGTAGGTGCTGTTTAATTTATTCAAAAGGTATCAGATATTTAAGGTTGACATATGTTTGTGTGAAAAGGTTCTATGCAAAGAGATCTAAAGCCCTCTAAAAGTAGCCCAGCATTAGTTTAAGGAAAATACATTTAATGTCTAACTGAAACTATTGATTTGCAATATATCTATTGACAAGCTTTGTTGTACACAATATATATTGTACACTATATACAAGTATAATAAGATATACCAACAGAATTTCTATATTTGGATAATTGAACTATCTATCAATAGGTGCTGTTTAACTTATTCAAAACGTATCAGATATTTAAGGTTACATATGTTTGTGTGAAAAGGTTGTATGCAAACAAATCTAAAGCCCTCTAAAAGTAGCCCAGCATTAGTTTAAAAAAAATATATTGTAATGTCTAACTGAAACTATTGATTTCCAATATATCTATTGACAAGCTTTGTTGTACAAAATATATATTGTACACTATATACAAGGATAATAAGATATACCAACAGAATTGCTATATTTGGATAGTTGAACTATCTATCAGTAGGTGCTGTTTAATTTATTCAAAAGGTATCAGATATTTAAGGTTCACATATGTTTGTGTGAAAAGGTTGTATGAAAAGAGATCTAAAGCCCTCTAAAAGTAGCCCAGCATTAGTTTAAGGAAAATACATTGTAATGTCTAACCGAAACTATTGATTTTCAATATATCTATTGACAAACTTTGTAGATAATAAGATATACCAACAGAATTGCTACATTTGGATAGTTGAACTATCTATCAGTAGGTGCTGTTTAATTTATTCAAAAGGTATCAGATATTTAAGGTTGACATATGTTTGTGTGAAAAGGTTGTATGCAAAGAGATCTAAAGCCCTCTTAAAGTAGCCCAGCATTAGTTTAAGGAAAATACATTGTAATGTCTAACTGAAACTATTGATTTTCAATATATCTATTGACAAGCTTTGTTGTAGACAATATATATTGTACACTATATACAAGGATAATAAGATATACCAACAGAATTGCTACATTTCGATAGTTGAACTATCTATCAGTAGGTGCTGTTTAATTTATTCAAAAGGTATCAGATATTTAAGGTTGACATATGTTTGTGTGAAAAGGTTGTATGCAGAGAGATCTAAACCCTTTAAAAAAACCCTAGCATTAAATGCTTAAGGAAAATAATTGTAATGTCTAACTGAAACTATTGATTTGCAATATATCTATTGACAAGCTTTGTTGTACAAAATATATATTGTACACTATATACAAGGATAATAAGATATACCAACAGAATTGCTATATTTGGATAGTTGAACTATCTATCAGTAGGTGCTGTTTAATTTATTCAAAATGTATCAAATAATTAAGGTTGACATATGTTTGTGTGAAAAGGTTCTATGCAAAGAGATCTAAAGCCCTCTAAAAGTAGCCCAGCATTAGTTTAAGGAAAATACATTGTAATGTCTAACTGAAACTATTGATTTGCAATATATCTATTGACAAGCTTTGTTGTACACAATATATATTGTACACTATATACAAGTATAATAAGATATACCAACAGAATTGCTATATTTGGATAGTTGAACGATCTATCAGTAGGTGCTGTTTAACTTATTCAAAACGTATCAGATATTTAAGGTTACATATGTTTGTGTGAAAAGGTTGTATGCAAAGAGATCTAAAGCCCTCTAAAAGTAGCCTAGCATTAGTTTAAGGAAAATATATTGTAATGTCTAACTGAAACTGTTGATTTGCAATATATCTATTGACAAGCTCTGTTATACAAAATATATATTGTACACTATATACAGGGATAATAAGGTATATCAACAGAATTGCTATATTTGGATAGTTGAACTATCTATCAGTAGGTGCTGTTTAATCTATTCAAAAGGTATCAGATATTTAAGGTTCACATATGTTTGTGTGAGAAGGTTGTATGAAAAGAGATCTAAAGCCCTCTAAAAGTAGCCCAGCATTAGTTTAAGGAAAATACATTGTAATGTCTAACCGAAACTATTGATTTTCAATATATCTATTGACAAACTTTGTAGATAATAAGATATACCAACAGAATTGCTATATTTGGATAGTTGAACTATCTATCAGTAGGTGCTGTTTAATTTATTCAAAAGGTATCAGATATTTAAGGTTGACATATGTTTGTGTGAAAAGGTTCTATGCAAAGAGATCTAAAGCCCTCTAAAAGTAGCCCAGCATTAGTTTAAGGAAAATACATTTAATGTCTAACT